TGTTTTAAACTCTTCTCACACTCTTGCAATATTCTAAACAATGTTTCCGAACTCTAAACGTGCTAAACGAGATTGATGATAATGATTTCAGCTCTGTGCCTTCCTGCTCTTAGCCACCTGCAAGTGGTCTGGCCACGCCCACTTCTTCTTTCTGCACAGAGAACAGCTGATCAGCTGCTGAAGGAAGCTTATCCTGCAGTGTGGGCTGCACAAGCGTGCAGCAGGTGCTAAATAATTTTCAATAATTTATTTTAAATAAAAATGCCATAGTGATTGTGCAGCTCATCCATCAATCAGCTAGTTGTGTGTCAAGTCCAATTTTATTTTGAAAAACCGCAATGGAGCAAGTCCGCGAAAAACGAATCGCAAAGTAGCGAATAACTACTATACTTTAACTACAAACAGGACTGGAAGCCAGAAGGTTAAGCCACAAAAGACAGTCACCCCCTAGTGGCTGGTTACAGTCATTTTTAAGCCACACCCCTCTAAGAAAATATAATGGGAGACTGCAACGAAGTGAAGATTCAACGAGTCTGCTGGCTTCCTTAGATAGAGATTTTTACTAATTGGCTTTTCTATGCATGTGAATGTTCCAGTAAAGTGCCCTGAGACAACTTTGTTGTGATATGGTGCTATATATATATATAAAAAAACTGAATTGAATTGAAAACAAACGTGACATTTTTAACGACTAAAACGTTAAAAATCCACGTTAAATATTTTTTCAGCTCTTGATTTGTGTTGATTCATGCAGCACTTATTGCACTACTGTTTATTCAAACATGCGTTCTTAAACACAGTTTGTTTCAATGCGTTATTTTAGATCCCAAAGAAGTGTCATGTTGCTTTGTGATGGACGGCATCTCTGCCTGTTGGTGAGTCTGGAGTGTTTGCAGGTGGGATTTTCTATCAAGGATACGCCTCACATCGCCACTATGCAGATTCTGGTTTCAAAAATACAATTTGGCAGATATTTTACTACGATCAGTTCTGAACAACGGGAGAAACAAAGCCACCTGTCCTACCTACATTAATGCTGATGGTTCAAATAAACCAGTCAGAATCAAATTATTTTCTCCAAACTGAGGTCATTCAAAGCTCTATCTACTAGTAAGATATTAATAGTTCATAACTTTTCTACAAAGTCCTCCAACTTCAAATGGTCCAAACTAATTATAGAGCAGCGACTCAGAGAAACGTTCTTTAAAAGTGAAATGCTGCTGTAAGCCGCAGAGCCACTGTTTGCATCCATTTGTCTCCACGTCTGCAGTTCAGTCAGACTGACAGCTTCCGCTCCATTTCCACGGCTGTTTGTTGCCTTTTAGCGTCAGTGTGTGAGAATTTCTGTGTGAGAGTCGAACCTTGGCAGTGGCCCAGGTACTTGACTTCGATGCGCTCCTGCTTCTGACAGGACGCCTCCTTCACCTGGCACGGGTTGTCATAGGAGCGACCGTCTGAGGCGCACACCGGGTTGAAGCTGATGTGGGAACAGTCGATGTTGCAGACGCACCTAAAGGACCAGAAACTGTTAAAACTTCACACTTCCAGCTGTTTAATGCATCGGCACACTGAGCAGCAAAATGCAAACGAGAGCACCCGAATGTGTGTTTGACTGAGACACACACCTGATGCAATAAGAATTAAAATCACGATAAGAGGAACAATACAGCGTCAGGGCCGTGCAGAATAATCCTGCTCAAACGGTTTAGCTCATTCAGTTTCACACAAAGAGACAGGCTGCACTGCATGGCTGGCAGACAAATGATGTACCTTTTACAGGAACAGGAAGCAATTAATAATAAAAGACCTGCAGATAACGAAGCTGTTCAGTTCGTCTTTGCAGAAGAAAAGACACAAAAAACTCGAGTTTATTTGAGATAAAACTGGACACAGCATAAACAGGGAGTTAACTTTATTGTGCAAAGAAAAATAATTTGCACGGGCGGGCAAGATAACTTGTTTTTGGAACTGAACGAAGGACTTCCTAAACCAATTTGTTTGAGAAATTCAGATTTTTATGATGATGAATGTTAACACGGAGACGCTGTAATGCGTTTCATGTTGGTCTCACACAGAGCGGGGAAATTTCATCAAGCCAGTTTTGATCCACGGGAGCCGGATTTGCTTCAAATTTACCGCAGCAACAGATGCTTTCTTCTCCTCCAAGTTGCTTGGAAACGTCTCCGGGAGTCGCAGAGCGAAAAACAAATTAAAAGCCTGTTTGTCCACCTAACCGCTTGCATCTCCAACACTTTTTAAATTAGCCAGGTTTAGTGTTCCTCTGCCTGATGAACCATTCCCGTTTCAGCTGCTTTGTTGTTGCGCAACGCTGTGATGGCCTGGTATTTTGTTTCCAGGTCGTAAAGGTGATCCTTTCAGCTCCAAGGAACTAACTGCTGTAGCACCACAATTTTAGATGACATTTCAAAAGGAGGCTTTCACTGGATGTTTAGGCTCACCTGCATGAATGTCACAGAAAGTTGCTAAACCACGTATGCCTCTGTGCGTGTGAGTGTGCGTGCTCTTTCCCACATATTCTGCCACCGTTAAGTGGTGGGCCTGATCAGCAGAAATTACAACTAGATTGCCGTCTGCAGACAGTTGGTGCTGAGTAGTGCTGAACACATGATTCTGTAATTATAAATCTGTCATTACACTCCCTGATCTTTTCCAACTCCCCCGGTGCCAAGCACCCGGTAAAGCACGGGCATTCAGCTGTCTTACAGCTGCGTACACGCCTACGTGGGCACCCGCCAACTGCATGAATGCGTCCCCAAACACACATAGACGCACAGGCGCAGACACCATCACAATCAGCGGGGATGATTCTGACACCGATGTTGATTGAAATGCCGTGCAGCAAAGCGTGGCGGTGTTCGACTAGTGTTGTAACGATGCACCTGCAAAGTGAGACTGAAGAGTAGAAAGGCGTTGTTACGCATCGGAGAAGACCACTCATGGAATTGCAGGTTAAAAGTAAAATAAAATAAACTCTGAAAATCTGAGCTGCAATTAGTGTACAAAACAATAGAATTTGGTATTATTCCAATACCAAGCAAATGGCACCAGTACTGATCCAATGAGATGCTTTTAAAGCAGCTTGATATCTTTCACATAGGTAAGAGTGTGTCATGTTTTGTCTTCATTAAGCTGAACACATTTTCATAACTATAAAATGATGACCCCCACTCATAATTAGCAAATAAACAAATAGATAACAGGGTTTGAAAAGGTTATAGGTATCCATTGGAATGTCATAAAACTGATTAAAAAACACCAACTTAACACAAGTAACAAATCTTTCACCATTTTTTTTTCTTCCCACATTGATGCTTATTGTTCCTTAAATGAAACAAACTGTAAGAAAAACTTGAATGGCTGCCCATTATGTGTGACTGTTTACCTATATATACAAAACAGCTGACGAGACTGAAAACAGGTCAACAATGGTGACGTCCACGAAAGAGCCATCTGGAACTAAGTATGCACATAAAAGTGCTTTGTTTATATTGAATGCATACCTTGAAGTGAAACTTAAACTGGGTTTCTTTATCAGAAATGGATCCTGTCTATCTCTGAACGCTAGGAAACACCTAACCTGTATAAATAAGTTGAATGAATGTCCACATTTCATAATTGCACATCACTAGATCTAGAAAACTACTGAAGTAAACTTGTTTAAACTGTACCATTTAAAAAAGGCTCAGGAATATCATTGATAAAAATCCATATTTGGATCGATCTGTGCACTGCTAGCAATAAGGCATGAGTTGGTGTAACCTTTTACCAGCATGACATCATATCAGTTGAGGAAAAATATGACAGCTTCACTGTATACAATTTACACACTAGGGATGGGCACTGATTTATGATTTACTTTCTTTTATTAATCATTTTCCTGCCTAAGTAACATCACATATTGCTTAAAAATAATTACTTTTTAGGCATCTTAGTATAACATTGCCAACGAAAGTGTTTATTTCTAGTTATTTTACTTTTAATGGGTATAAGGGGACTGTTTAAAATCAGCTGAGCAGCTTCAGCACTCAGGACAAACTTAGAACCAATTAATGATTATCCTTTTTATTTGTACCACTTTTATTTATGATGATAGCAAGGATCAAGGCTGAAATTTATATTTACTTAAAAGCATTGAGAATAATTTGAAAATCACAATTTAATACAGTATTAGCTGAAACACCAGTTAACAGCTTTATATGTATTGATTGTTTAATTATAACACAGTGATTGTGCCTATATAGCATTGGTATGTGTGGCTCTCCACTTTGTAAAGTAATGTTGAGACGAGCTCATGGTAGTAATTAATCAGCTGCCTCCACCGTGAGCCTGCTGTAGGCTGTATATATTTCACCTGCTAACATTGTAGCCTGGTACAAATGGTTATTTCAAAATAGCTTTACTTGGCTTGCAGACTGGCACTCCATGTGACTAAAGGAGGAGGGAAAACACTTGGCGTTTCATTAAAAGGCATTTAAACGGCAGGACAGGAAGATGTAGTGGTTTTGATTTAATGATTTCTAACAATGTGCCATACATTGAAACCAGTCATCGGCTCATGTTAAGCTGCTTTGAAAGAGTCTTCCCCAACAAAACAGTAATGCTATATAACTAAAATTGACATATCACATAATTAACACATTTTTTCTCTTTAGCTTCTGCTGTAATTAGAGCTGCAGCCATGACAGAAATCTATATCAATGCACAAAGCCAACGCAAAGACTCAGAATTGATACAACTGTGATGAAAACAGTCCCTTCAGCAGCCTCTCACTCTGTGTCTGCTCCTCTGTGGGTGTGAAAGGAATACATGAAACTCTGACAGTGAATCCTCACACGTTTCACTTCACCTTGTGGAAATTAGTGCTAAAAAGCCTCTCTAAAGTGTTCACGTGAGTCATTTCAATGATCTAAAGTACCTTCGATCACATGTTTGAACACTGCCCAAATGTTATTTTTTTAGTTTTTGGTTTATAACAAACAAGTATTTTTATTATTATGAACAATATTTTTCTCCATCCATCCATCCATCCATCCATCCATCCATCCATCCAT